GCTTGACAAATACGTTAGCGTCTGGGTTTGTACGTGTACATCATTTGCATACATGTGACCTATCAGTGTAAACAAATACACCTTGAAACTGATTATAATTGATTCAAACTGCTATTTTTAACACTCCGCTTGACCTACCTACAACAGGTAACCTTCAGCATTGTATTTAGGATGAAGGTTATTGGTTGATCACAGTAACGTCCTGTTTTCATCACTTTGAATAAAGTACAATAAGAACGTGACTCACTGGCGTGGCAGTGCTGAACAAACTGTCCTTCAATAAAGTTCTCGAGATGGAGTCGGAAGAAAAACAAATGGTACCTTTGGTTGACATTCTTCCAAAGAATGATGAATTTTTCGCAGAGGAGCCTTCAGAAAAGACCGCAAGACCTAAACGAAAACTTTCACTCATCCTTGTTATAATTGCAGTGGTGATTGTGGTCATCCTCGCAGTATCCCTGATCGCCATATACGTTCCAAAGTACCTGAGCGATGCCGAAAACGAACGTAAGTAAGACTTCTACAGGCCAGTGATTTGAGTTTGATTAAAGAGCTATTGTTAACGATATAGTCTTAAAGGTGCTTAGAGAATCGGTTGCTTTCTTCTGTACTCCTTTATTTCCTACCGATCCGCAGTCCAGTTTTCGCCTGATAAAACTGCAAGGTCTGATATAGTACTTCCTTGAAAACATTTCCTAGAACCATGTGGCCATAAACCGACGGAAGGTGTTTTGATTATTTTAGGAAGAATTTCGAATCTTATCTCAGTCGTTCTTATTTACCATCATATTCAGTGTCTGACCTGAACGTGCTGATATTTCATGTCCTTTCTCTCTGTTTTTTTTGCGTAGCTGCACAAGGTTCCAAGTACACAGGGCCGTTAACTGGTGAATTAGAAATTACTGCTTCCCCAAAGACTCACACAAGTTCGACAGGTATGTATCAAAATGAAAACTTGTTTGTATGGAGGCAAAAAAAAGGAATTACAAGAAGTGTAACTTATCAAATTTTTCTCAAGGTGTACATAGCTAAAAGCTTTCGTCGTCAACAGAATTCGCTGTAAAATATTAATCAGACGGGCTTGATGGGCTTTCGGCTTCAATCAGTTAAAAAACGTGACTTTGGATGAAATTTACGAGCGAAACAAAGAGATTTCGCATAATGAAAAAGGGAAGGGTGGAATTCTATATTTCGATGATGTTGCCAAGTTCTCGAAGTTATGGATTATTGAGAACCGATGGTCATGGATGTTTTCCCACAGACGGTTTCTTTGCTATTCGAATGAACATAAGACTGCAACTGAGATGTATTGTCACTCGGAAGACAAAATTTTAATTTCTCGAGATAAAATCGCAGCTGTCTACCAGTGCAAGTGAAAGATTTGCATATCATGAAAAATACAATATTGCATTGGGGTAAACGTGATCAACGTCCAAGAAACGCACGTGATCGAAACATAACTGAAGTCAGTTCCGTGATGTTTTTGTAGCTTTGATCACAAAACCAGCTGAGAGTTCCTGAAATGGCCATGCGACTACTTAAAACAAATTAATGAAGAGAGAGATTACATATATCATACTCAGTCTGGATTTCGAGTTCAGTCTCAAGTTAAATATTTTAGTTGAGTTTTTGAGTTTGAATCTCGTCGATTTTGATTTTGCGAGATTTTGATTTTTTGACCGGCGTGGCCTTCGAAGATAGCGATCGTACACATAGAAAAAGCCATAATCGTGCTAAACATTTTTATTAAGAGTTTTCTACCCTTTCTACTCACTGGCTGTACCTTCACTATCATCAGTTGTGACGAAACCCTCACCAACAGCCACATCAGCTGACTTTCAGCGGGAGCAAACAACGTCACCAACCAACCTGGAGTCTACGAGGAGCAGTATCTCACCAGCCAGTAGTATAGCAGCCCTGAGAGCCATCGCAGATCTTGTCCCCAACACAGGTGAGTTGTAAAAGTACCTTACATCTAGGTAGTTCGGAAAGCCGCAAAATACTAGAGCAAAAATTTATCTTCCAAATCGGCACTTTTAATCCCCACGGTATCAACGAGCGCCTTTCATTCAACTAATTTATTCTTGTTTTCTCGTCACAATACTCCTGCTAATGGCGTAGCTCCACTAAATAAACCCACACACATCCCACAATTCCTCCAATTGCTCTGACGAAGGGCTAACGCTCGAAACGTCAGCTTTTTTACTCCTTACGGTAGCCAATTTACGTTTTCAACCTAGTTGTTAACACTAAATTACCTGCTACACTCTCCCACCGAAGCAGCACCACAGTTTCTTTAGAAACTTACCCCCTTCATTAAAAAAATGACCCGTTATCAAGAGCAATTAGAGATTAGAATAGAAACTATAAAATGTGAATTATTAACTCTTAAGACAACAGTAATACCAAACCATAAAGATACCTTGTCGGCAGTAGTTGTGCTATAAACTCTCAACTTAGATTTCAGATAGGCATCCACGGCGCTGATTTGAGCATTTATGGTACATTGAGCTCTCCTCTTACTTATAAAATTAATATTTTTCTTTTACCCTTTCAAATAACACAGCTTTTGATATCCTAGCCCTTGATACTTTAGGACCATTTCAGTTAGGCGTTCAGTTTCTCTATATAAAACCTGCACATTAATTTTTTTAGTTATATGTATTGAATCCAGTTTTATCCTTCAAGCTAAGTTTTAACCATGCGTCGCCAGTTAAAAAATTTGAAAGATGAGGTTTCAGCACCAGGCTCTAAACAGTTCCTCTATCTCCATCTCAGCCCCATGACAAGTTGCGTCAACCGCCCAAAGCGAGCACAAAGCCCTAATTAAATCGAGGAAGATCATTAGGAAGAATTACTTTAATTTAGGAGTACTCATCGCTATATTTAACTGGACTTATAGAATCGAAATGGTCTCGTTGGAGTTCTTGGAGTGACTGCACGAAAACATGTGGCAGTGGCTCACGATATCGAAAGAGAAAGTGTGTGGCCATTAATGATAGAGCGGTCTTTGCCCCGATTACATGTGCTGGAAAAGCTGATCAGATCAAACCATGTGCAGACTGGAGCTGTCCAGGTGATTTAAAGTGTTAACGATTCGCAAGAATAAATATTTATTCATGAGATTGTCATCGAGTTTCTCCATATTTCTTACCCCGTATAAACCCCTTTTTACTCATGAAACATTAAAAAAGAGGGCCATAGTGTACATTGATAATGTAAGAGCTTATGTGATATAGCGCAAACACAGGTTATTCTGTAAGGATTTGGACACAGCAACTCGGTGGTCCCATCTTCATTTTTGTTTTCTTTAACTGTCATTTACTTTCCTGCAGCTTTATTGACGATGCCAATTTAGATTTTAGAACGCTATAAAAGAAGCTCATAAACTAATGATACACCAAAAAGACGTGATTGCTAGCTTAAAATAACGCACCTCTGTAAGGTGCAAGACGTTATACATCGAAATGCATGAAAACTCTAAGAACACAAACAATAATAGTATTTATAATAAATCAGGCGATTTTACTATGAATTCCTTCTATAACTCAAGTCTATTAAGTGCAGCTCCTAGGATTACATCTCCTTTTTAACTTAGAGAGCTAATTACACATTTTCCTCTACTTTACAGCCGAGT